TGGGGGTTAATATGGGGACTACCTTAGGATATAGGGGTTATATATTGACTATATAAGGGTTATATGTGATAATAGGATTAAGGGTCCCTATTAGGGGTCCCTCCTAAAGTTCCTAGAGAGGCAGTCTCGCAGGCTGCTCGTTGGCATGCCTTAACCTATCCTCCAAACAGAAGGGTCTATGTAGGGTTTTGGGTTTTAAGGAGGGTTCAGGGTTTAGGGCTCAGGATTTAGGGTTTGGGGTTAAGGAGGGTTTAGGTCTTAGGGTTTAGGGTTAAGGAGGGTTTAGGTTTTGGAGTTAGTTTAGGGCTTAGGGTTTAGGGTTCGGAATGCTCAAGTTTTCGGTTTTAATTTAGGGTCCTGGATGCATGGCTCAGGGCATCTACTAATAGGCTTTAGGGTTTAGGGTTTAGGGTTTAGCGTTTAGGGAACATGAAGGCTACCAAAGGACCATGAAGGTGTAGGGTTTAGGGTTGCGGGTCTAGGGGTGGGTAGTTACCAGGTGTGTACCCCCATACAAGGCTCATATAAGGATCGTATAAGGGTAGTGGGGCTGGATGGCCTCTATATAGGGCCTACACCCTAAGCCCTAATCTTCTATACGGGTACCCATTTGATAACTACCAAGCTGGAAACTCCCTTGAATTTAGGGTGGACATAAGGGCCCCTTTGATAGCTTCGCAGAGTTCCCGACATATTCCCCAATGAGGACCCATATCGACAATTTTTTGGGGGAAGTATAAATCATAGCTCATGTGGGCCCATGTAGCCCCCCCTTGCAAGGACAGTAGTCTTCCTGGGGCCCTTTTGGGGTTCTGTGTGCCCACAAGTTAGTTTGGGAAAGGGCACTGACTATGAGGGAGCGAAAAATGAACCTCGTGCAGGACACCGTGCAGCAATGCGTTTATAAGGAAATTGTATGTAAGCTGATGTGTTTCCACAGTGGGAGACCCCAAAATATTTCGAATAACCCTCTGTCCACCAAAACTGAGACCCTGAACCCTTACAACGTGTGGCTGCGCTACGAATCTCTACCTGATACCATCGCAGCCTACGCTCTTCACTCCATAAACCCTGAACCCTAAACCCTAATTAATTCTTAGACCCTGAACCTGGAACCCTAAACCCTGAACCCGAATCAGAGGGTCGAGCTGCGTAAGGAAGCGCTCGGCACAGTTGCGCCATCTGAGACGGGAAACGGGGAGACTCCGAGGATTCTCAGATACTGCGGGAGGTTCAGGGCTGAGGGGGCCAAATAATCACCAATACACTTCAGTGGTCTCTTTGAACTAGCCGGCTCCAATCGTAATTTCCGCAAGGAATGTAGGACACCAATGTTGGTAATTCTTTAGGCCCCTGTGCTACAGATTCTCGAGAAGCTGAAAGATCCTGCGGCTTAGGGCAAGTCCTAGGAACTCCCCACCTGTTTGGTTCAACATACTCAGCCCTTGGTTCAAAGAATAGAAGTTTCTCAAAACAAAAAAGCGCTCTCTTCAGCTGATACAGGGGCCCCACAAGGGTGAACTCAGGGCTGAGGGTTTAGGATTCAGGGTTTAAGGTTTGAGGGCGGTGCGCTGTGGGG